CCAATAACAGTTCGATGACAGTTGTTTGCTTTATATTTTAATGGTGGAGTTCTTGGACACTGAAACAAAGCCTTTGTTTATTGCGAGAGGCGTCAGAGGATTGTCCAATCAGACTGTGCGAATTGACGGTTCCTACAGCTGGTCTGAAACATGATCTCATTTGGTTTTCGTGGCATACGAGAGTCTCAATCAGTCTTAAATACAGTCTCAAATGGCATCTTCATCTGTTAGAGAGTCTCAAAACTGGTCTCATTTGCCGTTTAGAGGGTACTGTACATACCTCCTTTTGGGTTATGTACCACCAATCATAAATAATCCAAATTCTTAAGACAAGCTGCTTCATATCTCGTCTATGGATCTACTATCATATTCTCACATGTGAATCATTATGCTATTTGTAACTATCACAAAGGCTTATCACATTTCATAAACATATGTAATAAACCTGAATTTAATTCATCCAGCAAAGGTAAACTTCTTCTACATGAGTCATATACTGTAGTGTACTTTATTGTCGCTTGGAATTAATTTTCGCTATTTTCGCTGAGGGGATGATTCCGTGAAAATAAAATCCAGCGAATATACTTTTTTTCCTATATTTCACATTAAACTCATCAAAAATTAGTGAAAATAAATTCCATACGAAACGCCCAAAAAGCCCTTTCAGTGAAAATTAATTCAACCGAAAATAAAGTATTCCACAGTATCTGTAATTTCTTAAATTTGGACCAAATAAATCCACAGGTACATTTTCTGAGAAGAGACAAATGTTGACTATTGTGTTTCAATAACTATGAAGCAATTGTTCCTTGGTTACATCAATTCAGTTTTAGTCAAATCAATTGTAATCAATTGTATGCTCGGAGAAATCATGTTTAAGGGAAGAAATGGGTAATACAATGTATTTGAATAATTAAAATGTAAATTAAATTACCTGAGGAAGAATAAGAAGTATGGACATGTTGTGAGCATGGCAAGAATAAACATGGTGTCTTCGTAGATTGGTACGCACCAAATACGACCCGGTATCGAGAGAAACAGGAAGAATAATGACACCAAAAATATAGTTTTGGCGGGAGCACTCCTCTGTTCATAGGACAAAAAATAATACACAGAAACTGGAACTGATTATGATGGATTTTGTTATTGAACAGTGAAGGATATATATGCATGAATCATGTATGAGAGTTATTATTTATTCTATATATTCAACACTATTCCTCCAACTAGTGAAGCAGGTTGTCATCAGACAGCTATATTGGTCAGACTGATGATTTGGTGTCCCCAATAGACCATTTTCCATTCACTGCGAGAATCACGCGTTATGCATGACATCGAACGTAAAAACAAGACAAACAAAGGTCATAGCATCGTAGTGGCGTCAAACATCGCGTGGGATTCGACAAACGCAAAGATATTTTGGGGGGCATTGCTATGCTTAATAATGTGATGTACACATTTGATGATAGATAATTTTGATTAAGTCAGGGTATTCGAAAGCAATATTCCTCTGTCGAAGATTGGCCGGTCGATGTGAGCTACGAAATAAAGAAATTCGAGTTCAGAATCAAATCGTTCGATTTTTGCGGCAGACGTTCGACACACGTCTTTCATGCATCTCGCGAGATCTCGCAGTTGTACGGAAAATCACCTATTATGCCAATCACAGAGAACAAACTCGCAATCTCCCTGAAACTTGCTAGACCTGACATATGCTACCCATTCTGTCAAATAACATACACTATAGATGAAAAACATGAATCTAATGAGACTGTTTTTTGATATGGTATGCTGAGGACCAAACTAGAATATGATTTAATGTAATTTAACTGAAAACATTTTTGCCACACATTGTATATACCGTAAAATTAGAAGCTGCATCCCTAATAAAAGCCACACTCATTATTTTTGAACAATTGAGACCCAACAATTTACAAAACACTACTATGCATATGCAGTGATTATTATTGTAAGTATCCGAAAATATTAACATACATGTATTTGAGAAATTCAATCCTTTGAATACTTAGTGTGTGCTACAAGAATAATGTTGCTAGATTATGATACTGTGGAATACTTTATTTTCGCTGAAATTAATTTTCGCTGTAAAGGCTTTTTGGGCGTTTTGCTTGGAATTTATTTTCACTGATTTTTGATGAGTTTAATATGAAATATAGGAAAAAAAGTATACTCGCTGGATTTTACTTCACGGAATCATCCCTTCAGCGAAAATAGCAAAAATAAATTCCAAGCGAAAATAAAGTGTTCTACAGTATATCATAATCAATCCACTGTATTTGTCAAAATATAGTGTCAGAAATCAATATTAGAAATATAAATTTATAATAACTTTCCTAGATGGTTAACATACAAAGCACAAGAGTATATCATACTTACTAAAGTCCAAAGAAAGTTTCTCATTCCCTGGTAATAAATTTCTTTCAAGAAATAGATGATAAAAGTCAGAGCACCAATCAAAGATAATACTTCAAAAACAAGACGTGCCTGGAATGAAAAATAATACATACTGGTAAATATTATTCATATCACTGAATATTTGGGGGAACTTCAAACAAGTTTTCAGGTGTTTGTATTTGACCATGTATGCCTTGATGACTCCGAAAAATTGTACGAAATTATTGATATACTGGCGTAAAACAAATAAACATGAAAATCATAGTCAGTGTGTATTGGATATGATGGATTAACTTTTGTTTTACTATACCGGTAAATAAGTGAAAATGGGAGTTTTGTGATGTGTACACATGAAATCTTCTCAAATGGGATGAAATTGCATTGGGACAAACTATATGGACTAAAACAGCTTTAAAATGAAACAGGTGGGATGAAACATACTCAGGAATGAAACAACATTGAAACGAAATAACAGTGAACTCTACATCAACACCAAATAAATGTCTTCTATGTGTATCAAAGCATTAAATAGTCACTGTAAAATACTTTATTCTCCCTTGGAATTAATTTTCGCTATTTTCGCTGAAGGAGTGATTCAGTGAAAATAAAATCCAGTGAATACACCTTTTTTCCTATATTTTACATTCAACTCAACAAAAATCAGTGAAAATAAATTCCATATGAAACACCCAAAGGTCTTTTCAGCGAAAATTAATTCCAGCTAAAATAAATTATTTTACAGTATTCAACATACTATGTTCATTGTTCCATTGATATTTTGTAGATAACAATCGTCGTAGATTGTCTGATTAACCATTTCATAATTTCCATTTACTGTGGTGTTCACTTCAATGATCGTAGGGTTAAGATCCTATAATAAAAGAAACATACAAGCAAATAAATGTATGGCTGAAAACAAAAATTTAAGCCAATGGTAAATGTTTCTGTGTTAACCCCTTGAACACCGCTGTTTTCCCACTAAAAAGTTGGGGCAACATATTTTTTTACAATTTCATTGCTTTTTTCAGACGAAATGGATATAATTTCCCATTAGTTGGAGGTCTTGATCATAATTTTTGAAAACAAATTATGTGGGTTTTATTTTGAATGGTGCAAAGATCTCTCTCCCTTAATCTACAAAATGCTAGAATAATTATCATCAATTTTTATATAGCAAGCAATGAGACAAACAGTTTAAATTTATGAGCTTTGTTCTAAAAACTTCAACGGAATTAGATTGTTAATCATTTTAAAGCATTTCTCACACTGAATATTCTACAAATTTATCACGGAGCTAAATGAATTGGTATTCAAATAAGAAAAATAATGTAGTATTAGCTACTGGGGCAAAAACTACATCACACCATATACAGGCATGAGGGACACTACATCACACCATATGTAGGCATGAGGGACACTACATCACACCATATACAGGCATGAGGGACACTACATCACACCATATATAGGCATGAGGTACACTACATCACACCATATACAGGCATGAGGGACACTACATCACACCATATGTAGGCATGAGGGACACTACATCACACCATATATAGGCATAAGGGACACTACATCACACCATATATAGGCATGAGGGACACTACATCACACCATATATAGGCATGAGTAACCCTACATCACACCATATATAGGCATGAGTAACCCTACATCACACCATATATAGGCATGAGGGACACTACATCACACCATATATAGGCATGAGGGACACTACATCACCCCTCCTAGACTGGCAAAGTTGGTAATTCTTTTTTGTTTTACAAAAAAAATATAATTAATTGTCAATTTAGCTTTTTTAACATAATTGCGAAAACTAGCGTGACTGCGAAAGAAATCTTGACTGGCCGTATCTTCAGGCGACCCCTTGCATTGAAGTGAAAACTGGAGCGGAATCATTCCAGTGATTATGCTAATTAAAAGTTGTTGACTTAGCATTGACAACGAATCAGAGTGCAGCTATATATACGTCATATCTTATCTATGTTAATGTGCATGACCTTGTGATTTTGAAAGACTACTTATATACATTGGACATTTAAAGTATCGCCTTCGCACTTAAAAAGTATCCATCTCTGCGATCAAATCGAATCAACCTTTAAAAGCTACCTGGTCATGTTGGTCCAGTCGGGATTTCTTTAGCAGTCAGGTTAGTTTTCGTGATCATGCTGAAAGGACTAAAAGCAATTAATTATTTCTTTTTGTAAAACAAAAAAGAAGTCCTGACTTTGCCAGTCTACATCACACCATACCATGATCTTACTTACCGCTCCAGGCCTGAGGTAAAAAGCTATGGTAACCAGCAGAAGATAGAGGAGAAAAAAGGCTGCTCTTCGTAAGAAGCGATATCTAGCATATGATTTCCACTTCTCACGTAATATATACACAATCAAACCATCCATCATATCCAAATGCTCCATTCCCTCCTGCAAAAAAAAACAAAAAAAACACACACTCTACATTACATGTATGGTAGAATTTAACAATTTCCAGGAGCCTGAATTCGAAAAAAATGTAATCTATCGATTTTTTCCAATTAGAAGTGCGTATAAAAACATATATGTGATAAAGTTGACTTTGGTTTGGCAGCGTACCAGTCTTTTGTTCTGTAAACAAAGAAAGTTTTTTTTTCTTTAGCAACATACTCTCATGGTAGAATAAATATAGTACCAGGTATGCATAGCAAATAACAAGTACTGCTAGCAAAATACCGAGTAAGAAATCACATTATAGACTAGTGAGAACAAACTGTCAGTCTCACAGTAGCCTAGATAACCTCTTCTCAACAATCATCTGGACTCAACTGCTAAGATTTTATCTCTATGGTCAGTTGGGAACCATGATAATTGATTGGTTGATAAATATAGAACACTTCTAATCTGAATATGCTAATTTTTCAAACAATGGATGACCACGACTTGATTGGTTGATAAATATAGAACACTTTTAATCTGAATATGCTAATTTTTCAAACAATGGATGACCATGACTTGATTGGTTGATAAATATAGAACACTTCTAATTTGAATATGCTAATTTTTTTCAAACAATGGATGGCAGTTGTATGTTGCTCTCACATGCTGTATTAGCTGATACCGGTAGTTACCACAGCAATGAAAGTGAAAGACTACTCCATTCGTTGTAATGTTATGATAAATTTACATGCTTAATGAGCAGAAAGTATGGATGATAGTAGAGATATAACATCACCAGTAGGAAGTGAGTAACCAGGTTATTCTAATGGAGATTCATTGAAAAAACTTTCTTACCTGATTAACAACTAAATGTAGAATGGATTTCTCATTAATATTGCCAATTTTATCAATACTATCCAGACCACTCAATCCATACGCTGCACATGTGACGTTGCCATATATCCAGTACACCTGCCTTTCCAGTTCCAGAGCATGATCAAACATCTCCTTTCTTCCCAGTTTAGCAGCAAGATTTAATGCAGTCAACTCTTGACTGTTCAAGAGAGATGTATCAGCCCCCATAGAAAATGCAAGGTCGTACATATTCTATATCACAAAAAAAAAAAAAAATGTATCACTCAGAACATATGAAAACTAAGAGAATAAAATTAGATATCAGGGGCAATGAATTGTTTTTTTGTTTTTGTATTTTTGGCAAAAATTTTATTTCAGTATCATGTGTTTTGTGGTCGATAATATAC